ACCTCACTGAGCTAAAGAACCTCACTGAGCTAAAGAACCTCACTGACCTATAGAAATTTAAATGAAAAGAAAACAGAAGTGATGGTGTTTGGTCCTAGTGGCTCTTGTGAACCTTGCCCTGTGGATCTGGGCCCTCTGCCACCACATGTAAAGAATACAGTTTCTAACTTGGGTTTTAAAATGGACAGTGATTTTAAATTAGATTCCCAGATTGGAGCGGTGGTCAAGACCAGTTTTTATCACCTCAGACAGCTGGCTAAGGTAAAGTCCATCCTTACAAAACAACATCTGGAAACAGTAATCTATGCCTGTGTCACCTCTCGGCTGGATTACTGTAACGCTCTTTACCTTGGAGTCAGCCTGTCCTCCCTCAGACGCCTCCAGTTGGTCCAGAACACTGCTGCTTGGCTTCTAACTGGAGTTCAAAAGAGGGAGCACATCACCCCCCACTCTGGCTTCACTCCATTGGCTGCCTGTTCTTTTTAGAGTTCATTTTAAGATTCTTTTATTTGTTTTTAAAAGTTTAAATGGTCTTGCTCCATCCTACCTCTCCGAGTTGCTTCATCCATACTCTCCTGCTCGGTGCCTCAGATCAGCTGATTAGCTGCTCCTGGAGGTGCCGAGGTCTAAACGGAGGCTCAGAGGGGACAGAGCTTTTTCTGTTGCTGCTCCAAGACTGTGGAACAATCTCCCTCTTCCCATCAGACAAGCCCCTTCACTGTCCAGTTTTAAAACTCTTTTAAAAACACATTTTTACTCCCTGGCTTTTAGCACAGACTGAATTTTGCTCTGCACTGCTTTTATTATTTTTTATTGATCTTAATGTTTTAACAACTGTTTTTATGTGTTTAAATGTTCTTGATTTTATATGTACAGCACTTTGTGGCAGCTGTGGTTGTTTTAAAGGGCTTTATAAATAAAGTATTATTATTAGTATTATAAAGAACTTCACTGACCTACAGAACCTCACTGACCTGCACAAGGTGAGGTCAGTGAACAAAGCCAGGCTGATTCTGGCAGATCCTGAACATCACTATGATGAGTTCAGGTTGCTTCCATCTGGACGCAGGTATCTGCAGCCCAGATGTAGGACCAACAGACTGAAAAACTCATTTATGTCTTTAGAGATCAGGCTTCTCAACAAACAGTGATGATTTCTGTACTGTTATTTTAACGTCTTAATGTCTTGTCAAGTATGAATGTGCCTTCTGACTGTGAAACAAATTGCCCCTTGGGGAAAATAAAGATTCTTGAATTTGAACTTCACGGACAGACAATATTTTCAATTTCCTCTTTCGGCTCCGTGACGGTGGACAACAAACTGAAAACTCCTGAACGACATTAAAAAGATTCAGGAGGAGTGATAAAACTTGGTCCTGTTTGGATCCACAGCTCAGACTTCACAGAACTATCTTTCAGAGTAGGGATGCAATATATTATTGGCATGGTATCTGTATTGGCCAATATTAGCCTTGAAGTTCTATATCATCTATATCATCATCAGCCATTCCATCAAAATAACTCACCAATATAAAAGGTGCTGTTTCTGTATGACAACCCAGTGACAAGGACACTGCAGCGCCTGCACAATGTGATGAGATCACACGCGCCTACCTGATCTCACAGTGGAGAGGAAAATTCAAAATGTCGGCAGTGTGGAAGTTTCTTTTTTCGTTGGTGAGGATGTCAGATTCCGAAGATTTTTGGACTACGTTGAGCCTCACTACATCGCCCCCAGTCAGAGATATTTTTCCAACGTAACGTTACCCAAGTTACAAGCCATTATTTCCGATGTCACTGAGAAGCTAATAGCTGATAGCACTTGGGTGAGTTTTATTACAGACATTTGGACGTCGTGTTAGCCTCGTTAGCATGATTAGTCTTACAGCACAATGGATAGACAAAAACTTTGAACTTAAAAAGTCTGTCCTTCATGCACAGGAGTGCAGAGGATCCCACACTGCAGCTAGGAACCTGGAACAAGCCTCCACAAGTGAGACAGCATCGCAGGTGACTAATGCTAATAAATAAAATTTAACACTTTTCATTTAATATAAGTTAAAGTGCTATGCATATTATGTGGCTGTTACTGAATAATGCCACCTGCTCTTACAGCTGTTGCACAATTTTTGTAGCAAATAAGCCTAAATAAGAGGGCTATGTTCTGACAAAGGAACGTATATACAACATCAGTATCGGTTATCGGCCAAATAAGTTTTAACATATCGGCATATCGGCCAAAAATCCAATATCGTGCATCCGTAGTTCAGAGTTTAAGTGAGTCACAGAAAGCTGGACTTTCCATGACTGAACTGGTGTATTCAGATCTTTAAAGGTTTTTATACAACCATGTTATGACAGGAGGACTTTTAGAGGTTTTACTACAGAATGTCTCAGTAAATGTGATGATGTCAGACTAACTTTTTACCAAAAAACTTCTTATTCAGAACCATGGACTCCACAGAGCTGCAGAGAAACCGGTCCGCTCTCAGGCGGGTCTGGAACGAGTGGTTCTGCAGCACAATATCGGATCTGATGATTATCCTCTGAAGACATCTTTGTGAGGAAGTGACAACAGTGATAAGCAGAGCTGATACCAGCCTGTTGTGAAAACAGAGCTGCTGTTGGGTCTCAAACAAAGTCTGAACCGGGTCCAACCTGCTGATGTTTCAGCTCTCAACCTCTGCAGAACCTTTTCATGAGCGTGTCTCCTTCACCAACTTGTTTCTGATCTCTGCCTCTTCATCCCATCTGTACTCACATGACTTCCTGTTGAGTCGGGACCGTTTGCGGGTCTTTGGACTGGCTGGTTTGTCTGAGGGGTTCTGGGTGACGGACTTCACCAATCGGTCCATGATCTCATCGGTAGTGTCATCCTGAACGTTGGCCAAGTCCTCTTTGGCTGCAGGCATACGAGATGGGCTCACCCTACCAAGACCTGAGGACCAGAAACAGAACATCACCTAGAACCAGTACCAGAACCAGAACCAGAACCAGAGTGTGCTTCAGCTGACGTTACAGTAATAATATCAAACGTTCTACAGGTCCTTCTCAAAAATTAGCATATTGTGATAAAGGTCATTATTTTCCATAATGTAATGATAAAAATGAAACTTTCATATATTTCAGATTCATTGCACACCAACTGAAATATTTCAGGTCTTTAATTGTTTTAATACTGATGATTATGGCATACAGCTCATGAAAACCCAAAATGCCTGTCCCAAAAAATTAGCATATTTCAATCCCACCAATGAAAGACAAGTGTTTTAATACAAAAAACGCCAACCTTCAAATAATCATGTTCAGTTATGCACTCAATACTTGGTCGGGAATCCTTTTGCATGAATGACTGCTTCAATGCGGCGTGGCATGGAGGCAATCAGCCTGTGGCACTGCTGAGGTGTTATGGAGGCCCAGGATGCTTCGATAGCGGCCTTAAGCTCATCCAGAGTGTTAGGTCTTGCATCTCTCAACTCTTCACAATATCCCACAGGTTCTCTATGGGGTTCAGGTCAGGAGAGTTGGCAGGCCAATTGAGCACAGTAATACCATGGTCAGTAAACCATTTACCAGTGGTTTTGGCACTGTGAGCAGGTGCCAGGTCGTGCTGAAAAATGAAATCTTCATCTCCATAAAGCTTTTCAGCAGATGGAAGCATGAAGTGCTCCAAAATCTCCTGATAGCTAGCTGCATTGACCCTGCCCTTGATAAAACACAGTGGACCAACACCAGCAGCTGACATGACACCCCAGTGACTGCGGAAACTTGACACTGGACCTCAAGCAATGTGAATTCTGTGTCTCCTCTCTTCCTCCAGACTCTGGGACCTTGATTTCCAAAGGAAATGCAAAATTTACTGTAATCAGAGAACATAACTTTGGACCACTCAGCAGCAGTCCCAGTCGAGATGCTTCTGACGCAGTCTCTTGTTCAAAAGTGGCTTGACCTGGGAAATGCGGCACCTGTAGCCCATTTCCTGCACACGCCTGTGCACGGTGGCTCTGGATGTTTCTACTCCAGACTCAGTCCACTGCTTCCGCAGGTCCCACAAGGTCTGGAATTGGCCCTTCTCCACAATCCTCCTCAGGGTCCGGTCACCTCTTCTCGTTGTACAGCGTTTTCTGCCACACTTTTCCCTTCCCACAGACTTCCCACTGAGGTGCCTTGATACAACACTCTGGAAACAGCCTATTCGTTCAGCAATTTTTTTTCTGTGTCTTACCCTCTTGCTTGAGGGTGTCAATGATGGTCTTCCAGACAGCAGTCAGGTCGGCAGTCTTACCCATGATTGCGGTTTTGAGTAATAAACAAGGCTGGGAGTTTTTAAAAGCCTCAGGAATCTTTTGCAGGTGTTCAGAGTTACGTCATTGATTCAGATGGTTAGGTTAATAGCTTGTTTAGAGAACCTTTTCATGATATGCTAATTTTTTCGGACAGGCATTTTGGGTTTTCATGAGCTGTATGCCATAATCATCAGTATTAAAACAATTAAAGACCTGAAATATTTCAGCTGGTGTGCAATGAATCTGAAATATATGAAAGTTTCATTTTTATCATTACATTATGGAAAAATAATGGCCTTTATCACAATATGCTAATTTTTTGAGAAGGACCTGTACTTCATCAAGGTTCTGGCTTCATTCTGTGTTTTTGATTTGATCACAATAAAAGTGTTTAGTGCCACTGAGAACATAAAGTCTGCAAACTCTTCCTCAGTAAAACAGGTTGAACGATGAACGTGTGAGAAAGGGAGTGGGGGATCTCAGTTTGGACCAAGTTCTGAGGTTCTTACTGCGAACAGCCCTGGAGCGCCTCAGACCTCTCTGTTCCAGACCTAGGCTGCAGCCATCACTGATCAGCAGGTTCTTCATGTTCTTGTGCTCCTCTACCTGATCAGGCTCCGCCTCCCCCGCCATGGAGGTGGGGGTAGGGCTGTCCGAACGAGTCACCGCCCCCGAGAACTTCACCGTCTGAGCAAGGATGGGGAGGGGAGCAGATGTTCAACATGGAAAGTAAACAATAAAAATACTTTTTGTTTAGAGGCGTCTTTCTGACAACATCAAACAGCAACAAATAATACCTCAAACAAAACTATTTACAGTGAAGGTTTACAATCAGCCAGATGTTAACAACAGACCAATGTTAGCATTTAGCTAGGAGTTACCTATCAGCCAGATATTAAGCAGATGTTAATAATTAGACAGATGTTAATGAGCATACAAATGTTGACAGCAGACACGTTAATAAGCAAACAGATGTTGACAGATACATGTTAATGAGCAGACAGATGTTGACAGCATAAAGATGTTAATGAGCAAACGGATGTTGACAGATAGATGTTAATAATCAGACAGATGTTGACAGTAGACAAATGTTAATAAGCAGACAGATGTTAATAAGCAGACAGATGTTAATAAGCAGACAGTTGTTAATGAGCAGACAGATGTTGACAGCAGACAGTTGTTAATGAGTAGACATGTTGACAGCAGACAGATGTTGACAGCAGGCAATTTTTAATAAGACATACGTTGACATTAGACAGATGTTGACAGCAGACAATTGTTAATAAGTAGACATATGTTGACATCAGACAGATGTTGACAGCAGACAGATGTTAATAAGCAGGCAGATGTTAATGAGTAGACAGATGTTGACAGCAGACAATTGTTAATAAGTAGACATGTTGACAGCAGACAGATGTTAATAAGCAGACAGATGTTAATGAGCAGACAGATGTTGATGAGTAACTGTGTTTCATCATGCTGATGTGGCTCAAACTGTGTGGTCATACTTTGGTTTAGGCTCCTGCTGGTGACCTCTGACTTGGACCCTTACCTCGGTGATCATCTTTCCTCGGGTCTTGGTTCTCTCGCGGTGCACAGCTCGTTTCCGTTTGGTCGTGAGGACTTGGTCTCGGGTGGTTCGGTACTCCAGAGCGAACTCGCTGATGATCCGACAGAAACTGGTCACCTTGATGTCTCTGACGGAGAAGGACGGCTGACCCAGGAACAGCAGGAAAGAGTGAAACCTGCAGCAGGAGGAGCAAAGGAAGAAGGAGCTGGTGAGAGTCTACGAGCTAGAGTTGCAGTTGGGCCTAAAAAATCCGACCTGGCCTGAACCCGTATCATTTTTTACGAGCCTGACCTGAAACCGAACAATTCAAAGAAAGGAAGATATAAGAGTTCTTGTTTATTAACAAGAGTCAGCAAATTAGTATAGTTAATTATAATTATTATAATATTTTAGTTATTATAAATTTTAGTTATTGTAATATTATAGTTATTATAATATTTGAGTTATTATAATATTTTCGTTATTATAATATTATAGTTATTATGATATTATATTGATTATAATATTAGTTATTATAATATTATAGTTATTATAGTTATTCAATTCAATTCAATTCAAAAATACTTTATTAATCCCAGAGGGAAATTATATGTTGTGGTAACTCATCATCCTGGTTTCATTAATGAGTTGTTATAGATACTGATGGCTGTGGGCAGGAAGGATCTCTTGTACTGGTCTGTCCTACAACGGATTTGAAGAAGCCTCTGACTGAAGACACTTTGTTGTTGTATGACAGTCTGATGAAAAGGATGCTGAGGGTTGTCTATAATGTTCTTCATTTTATGAAGAATCCTTCTTTGAACAATCGTCTCCAAAGGTTCTAGAGGAGTCCCCAGAACTGAGCCAGCCTTCTTTATGAGCTTGTTGATCTTTTTTAAGTCACTTGCTCTGGTGCTGCTCCCCCAGCAGATGATGGCAGAAGAGATAGCACTCTCTACAACAGACTTATAGAAGATATGCAGCATCTTGCTGCAAACGTTGAAGGACTTCAGCTTCCTCAAGAAGTACAGTCTGCTCTGTCCCTTCTTGTAGACGCTTCACTGTTGCATTTCCAGTCCAGTCTGTTGTCCAGGTGAACTCCAAGGTATTTATACTTCACCACCTCCACTTCTTCTCCCATGATGGAAATAGTGTTGGACCTGTTCCTGTTTCTCCTGAAATCTACAATCATCTCCTTTGTTTTGTTCACATTCAAGATGAGATGATTGTTTCCACACCATGCCACAAAGTGGTCCACCAGTTCCCTGTACTCGGCTTCTTGTCCATCTCTGATACACCCGACTACTGCAGAGTCATCAGAATATTTCTGCAGATGACAGGAGTCTGTTTTATACTGGAAATCTGAGGTGTACAGAGTGAAAAGGAATGGTCAGAGTACAGTCCCCTGAGGTGCTCCTGAGCTACTGACCACCTGGTTAGACACACAACCCTTCAGTCTCACAAACTGTGGTCTGCTTGTCAGGTAGTCTTTGATCCAGGTGATTGTTGAGACCTCCACCTGAGTCTTCTGGAGTTTCTGACAAAGCAAATCAGGCTGGATTGTGTTAAATGCACTGGAGAAATCAAAGAACATGACTCTCACAGTGCTGTCTGCCTTTTCTGCATGACAGTGAGTTTGCTCGCATCGTTGATGGCATCTTCAACTTCAAGTCTACACTGATAAGCAATTAATAATAATTAATTAATCATTTGATGTAATTGCACTCGTGTCTATTTTATTGTTCAATTTAGATGCGTGGTTTTGTTTCTTGTATACAAAGTATTTTATTTTAGTGATTTAAAGATTAATTCTTGTTTTGTGATTTGTACATCTGTGGGTTAGAATAATGTTGAACCAAAGGCCATAGCTCTTCTTTAAACATGTTTGAGGGAAATAAGAGAGATTCAATAATTTTGTGTCTTTTTATGATTTGTAGCTGAGTTAACTTGAA